TACCACCACTGACTGCTCTGACTGGGATCACAACAGAGGGTTCTGGACAGAGCTGAAGAAGGATGTAGAACAAAATTCTAACACACAAAAAAAGACCAGATTTACTGGCCTGACAGAGACTGGAGAAACCCCAAGAGTATGGCCCCCGGGCACCCTTTAGCTCAGTCGTAAAGTCACTCCCGAGGTTCACCGTTTAGCTGGGGATTGGCCAGCCCTATAAAACAAAACGGGACTAATGAGGCACAGCAGTCCAGGGACAAGGACTAGAAGGCAGAAGGAGACAGGAAAGCTGGTGATAGGGAACCCAAGGTTGAGTAAGAACAATGTTGACATGCAGTAGGGTTCTTAACCATTGTCAATAGGGCAATATGTGTACTAACTGTTTAATGAGAAACTGTTTTGTTCTGTAAACCTTCATCTAAAGTGAGAATAGCAGCACAACTAGAAGAACGTAATTGACGGAACTGAATTGTACACGTAGAAGTTTTTGAAATGGTATATCTTTGGCTATGTACATTTTCACCAAAAAAGAAAAAGGTCCTGCAAGGTCAAGAAAGGAGCGTGTTGACATGTCGTGGCGCTGTTAACCAATGTCATAAAACAATATGTGTACTGACTGTTTAATGAGAAAATATTTATTCTGTAAACCTTCACCTAAAGTACAATAAAAAAAAAAAAAAGAAAAAATTACTTCTTTAATACATATAATGTTTTATGGAAACTGAAAGCATTACCACTAACTGAATAGCTATTTTGATTAGAATTTTTTTTTTAAATAGTATTTTATTGTGTTTTTGGTGAAAGTTCACACAGCAAATTAGATTCCCATTTAACAATGTAAGTACACATTGTTCAGTTACATTGGTTACATTTTTCACATTGTGTCAGCATTCTCATTATTTCCGTTCTCGTTCTATTTCCATTAATCTATCTTCCCTGCCCCCTTTGCCTTCTTATCGCTGCTTTAGGGTAAATGTTGACCATTTGGCCTCATATAGATGATTTTTTTTTTTTTTTTTTAAATACAGGAGCACTGTACTCATGGATGATGATGTTTATTTCGTGTTGGTTAGCTGAAAGGTGACCTCCAAGGGCTGTTTCAGTTCAAAGTTTGAAGTGTATTTCAGGGCAGTCATCTAGGGGTTCCCCTACTCTCTACTGGTCCAGTAAGTCTGGCCTTTTTTAGGAATTTGAGTTCTGTTCTACATTTTTCTCCCATTCTCTCCAGCACCTTCTATTGTGACCCTGGTCAGAGCAGTTGGTAGTGACAGCTGGGCACCATCTATTTCTCCTGGCTTCAGGATAGATGAGGTGTAGTTCATGTAGGTTATTAATCACAGTAGACTAGTTTCTTTGAGTCTTTGATTTCCTTCTTTCTCTTTTGCTCCAGATGAGTAGAGACCAAAAGTTGTATCTTAGATGGCCACTCGCAAGCTTTTAAGCCCTCAGATGGTACTCACCAAACTAGGATTTTGAACAAACTTATGGACTATGTTGTGCCAGTTGACCAACTTGTCCCACGAGACTATGGTCCTAAGCCTTCAAACCCAGTAAATACATCCCATGAGGTGCTTGGTTATGTCTGGGAAGTATCCATGACTGTGCCCCCTTAATTAGAATTTAAGGAGGATTTAGGGATGAGAGTCATTCATGTGAAATTGCTTTACTACATCATTCAAAGGAAAGTTGTTGGAATAATATAGTTGAAAGCAGAAGTGCACAGAGTGCTGCAGACTGTCATTGTTAATTTCATAAAAATAAAACTTTTTAGTAATAGTAGAATCATGAGAAAATTTTGTGACGAGAAGGATAGAGACCTTCACAGTATTTTGGACTGTTTAGAAGTTACCAATTGATCTTGTAGCTTAGTTCTTTCAGAAGCTATACTTCGAGATAAGATATTTCTTGTTTTTCTTTTAAAAAAAGTTTTCAGTATATGTTGTGTGGTTACTGTCTACCTAGAAAGCAGTTTAAAACACACAAATGAATATTCTTTATCTATCCCTTCAAAGTAAAGGTAACTTTTTAATAGTGAGTGAAATACAAAATCTGGTTTTTGAAGGAAACTTACCTATGAATAGAACATTTTGAAAATGGATGTAGGCTTTACAAGGTTGAGTTATTTCTTTTGTTCCCTAATTATCCCAAGTGCTTAGGACAGTGTCTGTCTAGCACATGCTTGGCACTTAAAAATATTTGAATTGATTTAATCTTTTACAAAAATGGTTTAATTATGGAACTTATAAAAACTTATGTGTGCACAATCTTGGAAATAGAATTTTCCCACGTTTTTAAAACTTACAAAAGAAGAGAGATTCATTGTACTTTTGGAGATACTAGTTCAGCATATTGGACTGCAACTCCAAATGAGCTTGACTGTTGGAACAATTGAGGATGGACATTAGCCTGATTTCACCAGAAACTTTTACATGATTGGTAGAAAGGGTTGAAAATTTAGTGTTGATGTGATTCAGAATTGCAGCCAACAATGCAAAATAAACCATCTGGACTTTTGATAACAGCCCATTAAAACCTAGAAGCAAAATATATAACTTAGAATGAGCCCATTGTATTATTGTGATTTTTTTTTTTTTAAAGATGAAGTATGTTCCATCATATTTCTCTGAGTAAAAATATGAAAATTTTGGTAGATCATAAAAAAAAATAAATTTAAAACTTTTCTTCAAGTAATTCACTTTTAACATCCTTTGTATATGTTTAATTATAAGTAGTATATGAATGCTATAACCCCTTGCCATTGAGTTGATTCTGACTCATAGCGACCCTGTAGGATGGAGTGGAACTGTCCGATAGGGTTTCCAACTAGCAGCTTGTGGATTCCAACTGCCGAGCTTTTGATTAGCAGCCAAGCACTTAACACTGTGCCACCAGGGCTCTTACATGTAATTTATAAGTAAATATACATGTATCAGATGCTTAAAAAAAAAAAAAGGGTCTATAATTTTAAAATGTTGAGAGACTGTCTGAAGAGTTTCATCATTTAAAAACATTTTGTTGTATAGTTCTTTAACGCTGTGTTTATCCTATATTTTAGGCTGCTGGTCTCGGTCGTATGAAACCAAACACGCTTGTCCTTGGATTTAAGAAAGATTGGTTGCAAGCAGATATGAGGGATGTGGATATGTATATAAATGTATTTCAGTAAGTATCTTTTTAATTAATAACCTGATTGGTTGTTCAGAAAATGTTTGTTTTGCAAGCCTGCACACGTTTTTGAAGCCTGTTTCTCTTATAGTCTCAAATAGTAGAAGCATAACAGTGAAAAGGGTCATGGTGGTCTTCTAGGTTCTAAATTGAGGATCTAGTAACAGATTTTTTTATTAATCTTTCTCTGTCTCTTTACACACTCATGCACATTCACACAGATGTACATACATTTATTACATGCAAGTGTGTATACTGTGACTTCCTTATAGCTGCTCCTGAGCCAACTTTCCAAATATTCTCAGACCTATCACCTTCTAAGCTATGTCATTATAATGCCTTAGGCTGAGGAAGGACATTTCATTCATTCACTGTGATCAACCTCAGAGGACTAGGTCTGTTCCCATCTCCACCTAATTTTGCAGTTAATCATTTGGTTCATCCATTAATTTATTTACATTTTAAATTACGTATTTTGCTTTTCCACCTTGAAAAGTGTGAGTTTACTATTGATTTTTTAGTGGTGTTTCCAATGATCTTTATCAGACAGCTTTGTTTTTTGTTTTTTGTTTTTTTTTTAAATGTCGCTTTAACTTCCTTCTTATGGTTTGTCTAGAAAGTTCTTTTATTCTTTCATTACTTTGTCTTTCCAGTTTTACTGTTTATATTATTACAGTTTTTTGTGTATGTATCTCTTTAATGTTATCTACCACAAATGCTTTTTTAACTGAGTGGGTTATTTAATAAGAAAAAACTTCTTTTTATTTTTGCTAGATTTGCTTCTTAATCTTCAAAAGTGTCTCCTTTCCTAGCATTCTGAGGTTTGCTTAACAAGTCTGTTGATTTTGTTCACATTGCTCTATAGAGATAAGCATTACCTCCCACCACACCAAACTGGATTGAAGAATAGTATTCTTCTTGTCATAGCCACCAATGAAGAAGGGGTTACTTCCTCTTATAAAGTATTTCATCATATACAAACAACTGTCCTTCTTGTTGTTATTGTATAATTTACATTTGGCAGAGTAGCTCTAAGACCAAATTCAGGTAAATTTTGATCTGATTACCCTTTTGTTATTGTCGTTGTTCGTTGTCGCTGAGTCGATTCCAACTCATGGCAACCCCATGTGTGCAAAGTAGAACTACTCCAAAGGATTTTCAAGGCTGTGACCTTCCAGAAGCAGATCACCAGGGCTGTCTTCCAAGCTTTCTCTGGGTGGGTTTGAACCACCAACCAACCTTTTGGCTGGTAGTCAAGCACTTAAACATTTACGCCACCCCAGGATTCCTGATTTCCCTTAACTCGCTGAAATTATCTCCCCTGCTGGAATTCCTGTTGTATCTATAGACAAAACCACATGCTTATTTACCCGTTTTACACATAATTGTTTTCCTACCTACCTTCAAGAATCTTTGAGGAAATAACCAGGGCTCATACTTTACTTTAAAAAAAAAAAAATCTCTTCATATCTGGTGAACAAGATTTTCCAGCTAATGATTAAATACTTTTGGTAAAATAAAAGCTCTACCAGTTCCTTGTAGGTTGTGACTGCTGCTGGCTCTGGGTTCGTTACCTTCTTGTAAGCAAAATCTTACTCTCGCTTTCTAATTCTCTCTATACTTGTATATGTGGGGATTAGGGACAAAAGGACAGTGTGAGAGATAGGTTATATCATGTCGGCTATGGCTGTGCATGCTTTTTTCTCGAGACACAAAACCAGTGGATGGAGTAATTATCCTAGAAAATCATGTTTTTTGGGCAAATAATTCTTTCATAGTAGTTGCTCATAATGAGAGCACTGGAAGGAAGGAGTCTTCCTGACTGGCCGTTTAAGGATTAAAGTGAGTGTTTGCCCTGAGTATTGTACCAAACCAAACTTGTTGCCATCAAGTTGATTCTGACTCATAACGACATTATAGGACAAAGTGGAACTGCCCCATAGTATCTCCAAGGAGCACCCAGTGGCTTCGAGCTGCTGACCTTTTGGTTAGCAGCCATAGCTCTTAACCACCATTATCAGGCAGCAATTAAACGATAGGTCAAGCATTGCTCTCTGGTGTCTAGAATCAGAAATTAATGGCAGTTTTAAAACAATGACACTGTTCATCCTTTTATCTTGGGACACTTCCCCCTAATGTTTTGGTTGTGGCTCTAAATATCAGTTAGTGTGGACTTTATTATTACCTTTATATTAACAGTATGTGGTCTGAAACTACTTTCCACCAATTTCTATAGCTTAAAGCAAAAATATTTGGCTATTTTAATATGAAAATAAACTCGGGGAGTACGTCCCCTGACTTTTCTTTAAAGAAATTGATTTTGATTCACTTGATTTATTAACTTAAGAATACTTATAATCATTTCTTCTCTAGTATATTAGGTTTTTCAGCTACAGCTGGGGGAGGTTAATGTGTCCATTAAATTTCTTTCTCCAGAGGTCTACTTTGACCTTACTTAACTCATAGGAATGAGGCCAAAATTCTCTCCCAGTTATTTAAAAAAAAAAAAAAAAGACCTTTTACAACCACATATAATATCCTGAACTCGTTCTTCCATTTGTCAGTACCAGCAATAATTTGATCATTTTATTTGATTTTTCACTTTTTCTTTTTGTTATATATGATTATAGATGAGTAGATCTTTATATTTTAATATGTATACAGTGACTATGGATCACTTGCATAATTAAATACAATAATTTAAAGTACCGATTAAGCCTGTTACCACTCTTGGAAAACAACCAGAACTTTTGGAATTTTAAATTCTTTAAGTAGATTTGAGAAGAACGTGGGCTTTACATAACTTACGGTTTTAGTGACTTTCCAGATTTTAAGTCTGGTTTTAGCTGCTTTTGCGGTTTCAATGTATTTTACATGTGCATAGGATGTGTCCATCTGTGGTTAAAGTAAATAAAGGGAGATATGAATATATGTTTCCAAATGCATATAAAATCTTTTGACTATTTTGTAGATGAATTTTGTAAAAAAAAAAAAAAAAATTTTTTTCCAAATTATTTCAAATACCCTTTCTCCTTTTTAGAAATAAACTCCTCATATTCTATGACCTGTTCTCATTCTTAGCAAAGTCTCTCTTCATTATCTTCGTGTGTTTCTTTTGGCTTTAAGTGTATAGCCTGAGTACAGATACAGTGAGATGACTGAAAATTGTTTCTCCATAATTTTAGTCGGACTGTTTCTGATAGAATAAAAACAAATACACTACTTTAAACAGCTTGCTTGGAGGTACAGTATTAATATTATAAAGATTTACACTTACGTAGTTTTCAAGGATATTACAGAACAAAGGAAAGGGAATGGAGTAGGATTTGAAATTAACATCATGCAGATTCCATCAAGTAATTTTTAAAACATTAAAATCAGATATTTAAAGCTGAAAGTAATTTTAGAGATTCTGTCTCCTATTACCTTTGTTGTATAGAGGGGACACAGAAATTTTTGTGATTTTTTTTTTTTTCCCCCTCCCCATTATAGTGATGCCTTTGACATCCAATATGGAGTGGTGGTTATCCGCTTAAAGGAGGGTCTGGATATATCTCATCTTCAAGGACAAGGTAAACCTTGTTTAAAATAAGTTTTTTTAATTAAAAAATATGAATTATTTTGTTAGTTAGAAATTATATATAATTCTTACAAATTATTCAGTAATTGTAATAGTTATCATCTATTCTGTGCCATCTTAAGATGACATCTATTCAACTGTACCAAAGTTTGTGTTTTCTGTCTACCCAGCTAGATGATGGTTAGTGATTATTACAGAGAGAATCAAATTCAACTCAAATTACAAGTTTAAGAGAAATAAACATAAGTTGTGATTGTACAGTAGCCACATTTTTAAAAATACTTGTTAATACAATCCGAGGAAAAAATTTTAAACAACTAAGTCATTAGATATTTTCATGTTTATATAAGTGGAACCATGCTATAGATTACCTTTAAAGCATTTATTTTAAGTGAAGGTTGAAACCTAATTAAGGTGTGATTACTGCTTTTGTCAACTTGTTAGAGCCTATAGACATTTCTGTACCCTCTTATGATTTCCTGGTAGTTTTTAAAATATGAACTTGAGAAAATTTGCATATTTAATATTTTACCCTTATCAGTTAATTAACCAAATTATCACTTAACTAAGGCTATGGCATCACCAGAGACAGAGAATGAGCTCTTCTTGTCTATTTATATATTTAAACTGTTGTAAATACATAAATACCACCACCAGCTCATCCTGCAGTTTTGAAAGGAACGCTTTGAGATCTTTATCCACATAACTCAAAAGTATGGCTTGCTGAAAATGTATTTTCTTACTCTGGAGTTGTTGTTGTGTGCTGTCAGGTTGATTCCAACTCACAGCGACACTGTAGGACAGAGTAGAACTACCTCATAGGGTTTCCTAGGCTGTAAACGTTTATGGAAGTAGACTGCCACATCTTTCTCCCGAGGAGCGGCTGATGGGTTGAAACCGCCAACCTTTTGGTTAGCAGCCAAGTGCTTTAACCATTGTGCCACCGGGACAATTAAAAAAAACAAAAGTCGTTGCCGTCAAGTCTGTTCTGACTTACAGTGACCCTACAGGACAGAGTAAAACGGGGTTTCCAAGGAACAGCTGGTAGATTCAAACTGCTGACCTTTTGGTTAGCAACTGTAGCTCTTAACCACTGCACCACCAGGGCTCCACTCTGGAGTAGGCCTTGCAAAACACTGTATTTGTTTCAATTCTCTCTTGCTCTGACAGTGATTGAGGTTTGTTTAGTACATCCAATTTATACTTGTTATCCCTGCATAATTACTAGCAGTGTTCCCTTTTACTCTCAAAAGTATCGCAGTTTGGCTAACTACATAATTTAATAATTTACAGAGGTTTGAATGTGATTGAAACTATAAAAAATATTTTCAAGTATTTATAATCATTATGAATCATTTTTGAAAAGCCTTATTTATCACCAGTAGGATTTGGAGATAGGAATTCAGTTTGGCATCAGACTAAGAGCACAGGCTTTGGAGGTAGGCAGATCTGGGTTAAAAAGTGCAGCTTTTCCTCTTAATCATTTTGTAGCTTGGGATAATTTGCTGACTTCTGAGCCTCGGTTTCTTAATTTGTTAAAACCTAATTACCTCATAGGGTTGTTGTGAAGATTGAAAAGGAGATAAGGCTGTGTCCTGGCACCTAGGCTCCTGTAGCTTCTACTCTTGTCTTCATTCACGTGCATAAGTGATGAGGATACGAACAGATTATCCATTTCATATTACATTTGTCTTTATGATAAATGTTTTTAATGGTGGAAGTTAAATGTTTACTAACCTTTTGCCAAAAACACAGAAAACGAAGAAATTGCTTTAAAAAGAAATAAGTGATACTTTCACGATGAGCTTAGGAAAAGACTCTGGTCTTGACTCTGTAGTCAAGAGTGTAATATTTCAATGTTATCTGTCATCTTCTAACATGCATATGAACATCTGTCATATTTCAACTCTTCATATTTGTAAGTTTCTTTTGGAGTAGTATTCATTCACATTTTATAAATTATTCTTCTGCTGTTCATGAATTTCACTCATTACTGATCACTTATTTGTCACTCAGATATTTAAGTGAATAGTCCTTTCAAAACATTATGACATTTGTTTACATCAGAAATAATTTACAGTAAATTTATTATCTCATAAGAAAGTTTGCTTAAAAATGTCACTTAATTGTGATTAAACCATGAAGCTTTTTTAACAGTTTAAGTATTAGATAATATTTTAAATGCTTTTATGTCCACAGAAGAATTACTGTCATCACAAGAGAAATCTCCTGGTGCCAAGGATGTAGTACTAAGTGTGGAATATAGTAAAACATCAGATTTAGATACTTCCAAACAATCTGGTGAAAAAACTGTTAAAGGTAATTTTTCATTGAAACAAGAAATTTTATTACTGGTAGTGTTTTAATTTTGGGGGAATGATTTTTATTATATAACATGCCTTATAAAGTAACCCATTCTCATACTTGTACTGTTCATTTCTAGTTGCTCAGGTAAAATTTATGCCTTTCAAAACTGGCTTCAAAATGACTAGGTATTTTAAGCTATTAAAGCTCAATCATTGAACAGAAACCACGTCAATTTATTATTTGCAAATTTGCTCTTGTGTTTTTATCTACTCGCTGTAAATAAAACATTTTAATTTGAAGCATAGTTTAAATCTGAACTTGGAAAGAAACAGTAAATCTTATGTGTATAGCATATGATAACATTATGAAGGGAATAGCATTTAAAAATTAACTTTTTTTTAGTAAAACAAGATTTAAATATAAGGGGTTTTGTTTATGTGTTGATAATGTTAAAAATGTTTTTATACCTACTACATCTGTAGATGTTCAGAAAAAACAATGTAGTGTCAAATGAAAGTTTATAGTTCAATTTAGTCCCTGTCTGAAGAAACTAGCTGTGGGTACTTGGTTGCTGAACTATGAGACCGTAATTTACAGATATAACGTCCCTCATGGCTTATGTGACCCTATAGACCACAAAAAGATTTCAGAATCTTAAGAGACTTTCAGATAATTTTATCCACAAATGTATATTTCATGTTTATGAGAAGGAAAGAGGGATGACTTCCAAATCTTACTCTCCTACCCTCACTCTCCTACCTCTGTTCAGTCGAGTATCTCCATCTGTCCTATTCTCAGCTGACACGCGACAAAAAAAACTGCACTGTAAATCATTAAACCATATCATACTTTCGACTCCTGTAAAATAATTCCTGTTTTTTTCCCTGAAATTGATATTCTTGAACAAATCATGTCTCTCTGAAATGGATCTCCTCTAGATGACTTAGAAGCATTAACGTTGCTTTTATTTCTTTTCCTTCTTACTTACCTTGTTTTCTTAGAGCAGTAGTATTTCAAGGTTGAGTTGAGATCCATTTTTTCTTTCTGTTCTTTGCTGGCTTGATTATAATTTTTTTCTATAAACTGATTCTGATAACTGTTTTTATGTTTCTGCATTTAGTTTTTGGTATACATTCTTTCATTTCCTCATAACATTTTTTTTTTTCCAATCCTTTTCTCTTGCCTAAAACAGACTTTTCCTCTACCATCTGTTAGGAAATAGTAGGTAACGTTATAGTGGGAGTGGAAGAAGTAATACTTATTGAGCATCTACTCTGTGTACCCACAGTATAGTAGATATATCCATATATTAGCTTATGAATGTGTCATGGTCTTATGAGGACATTTATTTTTATAGAGTAGGAAACTGGGTCAGTTAATTTCTGCACAAATTTTTATTGTAAAAATCTAAATGCCTTAAACACAGTTTAAATCATTTTTAAATGTCAAGATTTCCTTGGCATTTCTGAGCTCTTTTAAATGAATGCAGAATGTCCATAGTTAAATTTATAAATTTTAGTATCATGAAAGACCGATCCTTTTTAAGAATAATAATATTTAACAATATAAAATTAAGTGTAATAATGAAATGCTTTTCATTCCATAATAGGCATAAGAAATAAGTAGCATTAAGAGATAAGAAAAAGTAACATTAAAAAGTAGCATCAGCTTTATTTTATGTTTATTTTAGCCAGATATTTTCAAAATTAGCAAAATTTTATGGAAAACTTTAAGTAATTTTAAGAGTCTTCAGAATTACAAACATTCTACTCTAGCTATTTAATCATGAGTGTTTGGCTATGTCTGTCCTGGTCATTGAAGCAAACAATAAGCAAGGAGACAAAAAGAGCACCCTTTGAGTACTCACTTTGTGCTAGGCACTAAACTAAGTGCATTAGTACTCCCAATATAACAGCTTTAAGAGATGGGTACTGTTAACCCTTTTTACAAATGAGGAAAATCATGAGTTAAGTAACTAGCTCAAGTCTACAGAGTAGAAAAGGGGGTAGAGGTAATATTAGAACCCTGGGAATCTAACTCTAGAGCACACTGCAATATACCCTTTCCAGCCCAAGTCAGGAGTATTATCTGCCTTAAACAAACAAGTAATACATAATATAACAAACTTATATTTAGGAAAAAATTGAGATTTGGGAAACTGTAGACCCCAGAAAGGAGCCCTGGTGGCACAATGGTTGAATGCTCAGCTGCTGACCTAAAGGTCGGGGGTTCAAACCACCAGCCGCTCCAAGGGAGAAAGATGTGGCAGTCTGCTTCCGTAAGGGTGTACAGCCTTGGAAACCCTGTGGGCAGTTCTACTCTGTCCTATAGGGTCTCTATGAGTTGGAATCGAGTTGATGGCAGTGGGTTTGTTTTTTGGTTTTTAAACTCCAGAAAGATAATTACACATCTGTAAATTGATGGATATAGGCATTCATGGCATGCATACATATATAAATTTATATATTTGGTGGAAAATCTCTGCTTTATAACCTGTCATTTTACATAAATCAAAAGCCTTCTGTCTCTGATCATATTCCTTAGTATTTCAAGTGGTGATTTAATTTTTACAAGTAACCAAATAGTCACCAAATGTTTCTAAAATTACTTTTCAGTCACAGTGATGCAATGGCATATTTCAAGTCTATGTATTATCTGCAGTGTACTTTATTGTACTTTAGATGAAGGTTTACAGAACAAATTAACTTCTCGTTAAAAAATTAGTACATATATTGTTTTGTGACATTGGTTGTCAGCCCCACGACATGTCAACACTCTTCCTGCTCAACTTTGGGTTCCCTGTTACCAGCTTCCCTGTCCTCTGCAATATCAGTTTTTACTGTCATACTCTAGAAGTCATAGTTCAGCAGTTTTTCAACTAATTTCAAATATGAACTTTAAAAACTCTGGTAAGATTTCTTGACACTTTTATAGGAATAAAATTTAGTAGGGGTGAATGTTTATCAGTAACCCTGTAGGAGGGGTCTCATGTTTGCTTTTAAATATCCTGAAAGTTAGTGTAGAAACTATTAATCTTCAGTCTTGATTAATTTTCATGGACTGTTGTTTCATGCAATGTTTTGTTTATAAATGTGCTCTATTTACATTTTCATTATTTTCCTAATATAAAGGCAATTAACCTGTATTTTGTGTTTTTTAAACATAATCTAGATGAGGAAGAGGATGGCAAGACTCCAACTCAGCCACTGTTGAAAAAAGGCAGGCATTTTTCATGATTTTATTTTAATTTCTTTTTTCATACTGTTAACTCTTTAACTCCAACTCTATTATTATTTATTTATTTCTTTTGCCTTTATTTTATTTCCATGGTGAGGTGATGTTATTTATTAAATGCAGATTAGAAAAGTTAACACTAGTCCAACTAAAAAGCAAATCTGCCTAGGAGTAGGTGGTATATCACAAACATTCTTTTAAATCATCATGACATTTCTTAAATATTCAAATCCTGAAAGTCAGTTATTAATTTTTTTTTTTTTTTTAATTTACACTGCATGGTTTAGATGATAAGTAGAGACACTGAGTTAGGCTGACTTAGTGTCACTCTTTACCATCAGTTGTACCCAGCCAAGTCCTTAATTTTGATACTAATATATTTTTCATTTCAAAAATTATAATATTTCTCACAGTCCTGCTGCGTTTGGGAGATACACAGTCATGTCAACATACATGAATTTTATGAAAAGGAGATAGAGGTGAGAGTTATGGAGCAGTGTGGTTTGGTAGCCATATTATTTCATCATGCAAAATCATTCGTCATGTTTGCACACGTCATGGCAGCATGAAAAGTGAATGACAGACATTCTGCAGAAGTGATTAGATTTCCTCTTGGGGATTTCTGCTTTAAAATTTTGGTGTAGGAGTTTCATGACAGTCATTTGCTTGCTCACAGGGCTGATGTTGGTTTTTTGTGTTTTTTTTTCTTTTTAATTCCTAGAAATGAATGGGAACTCCTTTGTTTATTGTCCTTTAGATCTGCGGCAGATCAGTGTCCTTCCAATGAGTTCCCACCATCTTTCTGTGGTTCAGAGAAAGATGAGGTGGTTCTATGGCTTTAGATTTGGCTATCATATTTTGAAGGAACAAAATTTAGGGAAAAATGAGGGAGATTTTCTTTAAACTAAGAAATATTAGTAAGATGGTTTTAGTAAATCTTCAACTTCATTCTATCGTTTATGTTGCAGATAACTTTTTATTTTAAAATATTTTTGAGCTTTATATTATTGAGAGGTCGTATTATGAAGGAAATATGTTCACAGAACAGGTATAAGCTTAACCATTTAGCTTAAAACAACTTTTCAAGAACCAAAATCTAGCAGTCAGGTGTAATCTTCTTGATTATTTATGATTGGTATATTGGTATTTATGATTCATTTACATTTATTCAGAATGCTTCAAAATATTAAAAACTAGGTAAGATAATTTGCATTTAGCAATTTTAAAGATACTTATCTGTAGCTATTTTATAAGTATGTTTAAATTATAGACAATTTAAAGCGTATAATGGCTATAACTGTATAATGTAAACATATTTGAATATACAAAAGTTAGGATACTATAGGAATTCAGCAAGGGAGGCTTTAGCTTTAATATTTACCTCCCTTACATCTTCTATTTTTGCTTAATCCTTTAGAATCCAAAGGCCCTGTTGTGCCTTTAAATGTAGCTGACCAAAAGCTTCTTGAAGCTAGTACACAGTTTCAGAAAAAACAAGGAAAGAACACTATTGATGTCTGGTGGCTTTTTGATGATGGAGGTAAGGTTAATAGACTTTTTTAATAATTTCAAATTTACTGAATTTGTGAGAATAGTAGGAAGAAGCCTCATGTACTCTTCACCTAGAGACCCCTTTCACATTTCACCAATGTTCCTAAAAGCAAAGGGATTAATTTCAGAATCAGGTGTTGCACATAGTTGTCATGTCTCTTCAGTGCCCTTTAATTTGGAACAGTTGCTCAGTCCTTCCTTGACCTTCACAACCTTAATAGTTTTAATAGAACAGGCCATTTTGTAGAATGTCACTCAATTTGGAGTACTGCCTGATGTTTCACTATAATTAGTCTCAGGTTATATATATTTGGCAGAAATACACAGAAGTGATGGCTGTGCTCTTCTGACTGCATTTTACCAAGTGGCATGTGATGTTGATTTGTCCCATCAGTGGTGAAGTTAACTTTGACCATTGAGTAAGGTGATTTTCACTGTAAAGTTACCACCACCACCACCTTTTATAATTACAAGCATTTAGGAGGGAATTAGTTTGAGACTATGTAAATATCTCATTCTTCCTACAACTTTTAGGACTATCTTAAGCATCCACTGATGTTTCTTACCTGAATTCATTATTGTTATTGCTCAATGGAGATTTTTCCAGTCCCATCATTTCTTCATTTATTGGCTTTCTACTGTAAGAAAAAGCTTTCTCTATTTCTGTCATGTGGAGTCGTGGATTCCTATTTTATTCAGTGGGATATAACTTGTTACACACATTATTTGTTTTAATGTTCAAATTGTTCCAGATTTGGACAGCAGGATCCCATTTAAGCAGGCTTTTGTGTCTGTTTGTCATGTCTCAATCACTCTTAGAAAGAAGCCCTTTCTTTCTGACACAATAAGATTTTCCAGGCTCAGTGTTGTACTGTCTTTACTCAAGCCATGGAACTAACTTAGGAGCCTTAGTTCCTTTCGCTGGAGGATGGTATTTAGAAACAAAGATTGCGCCATTAGACATACTCATTACTACTAGGATGATATAACCATACATGTTCATTTCCTAGCTCTGTCCACTGAGAGGCCAGTGGACAGAGCTAGGAAATAATACATGTATATGTTTTGTGTGTATATGTATAGACATCGATTGAAAACCGATTCTAGTCCAACACTGCAGGGTTCAGGTTCAGTCCAGCTTTCTCCTTTTTCATATTTCCCATTTCAGTGAGAAACCTGGTTCCCATTATCTTCAATTGAATATGAATCCTGTATGTAGCTAATCTCCCAACTATGCCAGACCTCACTGTGCCACTGGGCTGCCCTTATGTGAGCCCTAACTCCAATGATTTGTCTTCCTTGCTCCTGTGGTAAACATTCTTAGAGACTAAACTGGATAAAAAATTCTTGATTGAGAAATTAGCATTTAATAAATGATTTGTTGTATTTTTATGATTCAGGTTTGACCTTATTGATACCTTATCTTCTGACTACCAAGAAAAAATGGAAAGACTGTAAGATTAGAGTATTCATTGGAGGAAAAATAAACAGAATAGACCATGACCGGAGAGCGTAAGTTTATCTTAAAGGGCATTTATCCAGTAGTACTTTGTTATCACAATATAGATTTGATCGGATTAAAATTAGACAACCCAGAAAATGTCAGTCATGTTGTTCCATTCTGTGCTGAAGCTCAAAATTCCAGCTACACAAATAAAACCTCAGTCTCTTTAATTTTATGTTCATGCTTAAGTTGTTGATACTTAGTTTTAATATGTAATATTTTTAAAAACATTTTCGGCATTGTAGGTCTTCTTTAATACTGGAGCATTAAATAAAGCTCTAAGTGGCTTTTAATTTTAATCGGGAGAAAGTACACAAAGATAACATGTTCACATATGGGATATGTTTTGTAGGCTTCTAGACAGCAGAAATGCAGGATGCCATGTCATCCAACATCTTTCCTTCTGTACTGCCCAATTCTGCTACTGGTTTCAGTGCTTCTCTCCTGCACTGCAAGTAGTCTTGTGTCTTATCTCTTACCTTTCCAGTATACTGTACACATTGCTCCCAGGTTCATGTTTGGAAAGCAGAGCTTTGATCACAGGATTCTTCTGCCCCAAATACTTTAACAACTTCTCCATTACTTAACTGTAGAAGGTTTAATTGCTGTCATGCAGCATTCAAGGCCCTTCACGATCTGTTCTCCCATTCCATTTTTATCTCCTGTTCCCCCAGACATGCCCTTGTACTTCAGCTCACACTTCTGAACATTTATGTGATTTCAGGCTTTTACTCCTTTGCCTACTGTAAACTCTACAATAGCTTCTTACTCCACTTCTCATCTTTTAAAATAGTCCATTCTTCAAAGCTCAGCTCAGTGGTCACCTTCTTCATAAAGCCTTCCCTATTTCTTTTTCTCCCTTGAGCCTGTACTAGCTGTTATATTTCCTTCCTGAGTCACAATACTCTGATACCACTCATTACATTCTGGCTTGTATTATACTTCTTTCCTTACCTTAAATTTCAGTTGTGTGAGCCCTGTAACGTTTAGCACATTGCCATGCATGTAGCAGGCACTTAATAAGTAGACTCCAGGTTTAACTAGGTGTTTATTCATTTCAAATAGTGAATTAGACAACAAATACTAGGAATGAACTTAAAAGTTAAACTCATCTGCTTTCTAATACTATTTTTATTTCAAAAACTCTCCTCTTATTAAAAATAAATCCTTTTTTGTTAATTGCTTTTCTTGTGTGTGTTTCTTTTCTTGTTGCCACCAATGTTTCATTGCCAGTTATGTCTCCAAAAAGGTATTTATTGTTAAGTGCCGTCAGGTCAGCTCTGGCTTATAGTGACCTTATGTATAACAGAAAGAAACGTTATTTATTTACCGGAAGTTAGGGGCTTGTTGGTGCTCCTCTTCCATGCCCATCCCAGTTCCCCTACCTCCCCTGCCACCCACAAAAAAAAAAGACGGTAGTGAACTAAATCGACCATCTTCAGTTTGGTTCCAACCCAAAAATCATACTTGGGCCTTGACATATGCTTTGTTCTTTTCATAGAAGAATAATCCAGAAATAACCATTTACTAGTTTTTACTGAAACCTATATACTTATCAATATAATTTGAGTACAATTAACTTAGAACTGCTTGGCATTCAAACTTCATTATTAATGCCTTGCTTTGTCCATTCATTATTGCTCCATAGAGAGATCCAGAGAAAGTAAAAGAATATAATAGAAGTCTCTACTCAGGGAATTTAAAAGCCTACTTTGTGAATGTACTTTTTGAATTAACTCAGGTGGACTTAGTACTGGTAGACTATAACTCATATATAGACTATAAATCACATATGTGCATTCAGCCCTACTTAGAATAAAAACACTTCAGTACATCCTTCATGAATCTCAATGCTGTTCATTTTGTTCCAGGATGGCTACTTTGCTTAGCAAGTTCCGGATAGACTTCTCTGACATCATGGTCCTAGGAGATATTAATACCAAACCAAAGAAAGAAAAGTAAGTTGTTGGATAAGTTACTCTGTACAAATTTTTAATCCTTTTATGGATGAACTACTTAAATATTCCATTAACCGATAAATCAATTTACAACTAATTATTTGGTTTTTTTCCCCTGTTTTTGGTTATATGTGAGGTCCAATTTTTGCATGAGCACTGATAGTTGGTATGCCTGTAGCAGATACTGAAGCAAGTCTAAGGGGCTGTCAGTTTTTAGAGACAGTTTCAGTTACTACTCTGCAAGTGATTTTTGAAAATCATTAATGTCACAGAAGTTCCCTAGAGTTCTTTATATTTGCATTGTCCCTGCCCACGTTCATTGTGCTGTTGGTTGCCTTCAAGTCAGTTCTTTAGAATTGACTGCTGCATAGGGTTTTCAAGGCTGTGATCTTTCAGAAGCAGATCACCAGGCCTGTCTTCCAAGGTGCCTCTGGGTGGGTTCCAACTGCCAACTTTTCAGCTGGTAGTCAAGCACTTAACCATCTGCACCACACAGGGACTCCTCCACATTCATTAAGACCACTTGATCCCTACTCCACATAACTATTTCTACTATTTTGTTATATTATTAAAATAAGAGAATCTGAGAATTTGCCTTCAGTCAGAATTCTCTCAGTCAAATCAGACACTTTTGGAATAGCCTACCCAAAAATGGTATAAACAGGTTGTTATAATGAAATGTATGTTCATTTTATCATATATAATTTTAATTATTCTCCAACAAAGGTTGAATAAATAAAATTGGTATAAAGAGTTCATTTGAAATAGAAAATAGTAAGTACCTTCTAACCAGGAAATTATTTCTTCTTACAAAAAAATACATTCCAAGAGTTTTGATCTAGACTTGATACTGAAAGATATGGTCAGTTTAGGGGATTAGAATGCCATTCATGTTCTTTTTATTTTATCCTATTAAGTAATTAAATGTCTTTGTATGTGGACATTAATTCTGCTACTTCTTAAGTTTTGAGTGTCTGCTCTTTCCTCCCTTCGAAATGTTCTGGTACATTTTCTTACACCATTATTCATGACACTTGAGCTGGGAACACCTTTGGGTGTTTTGAGTAAAGGAGTAACAGAATTTGCCCTATTGCTCGAAAGGATCATTTTGTCTACTGTGATGAAAATCTGTTTAGGTTGAGAGCGTGGGTATGGGGACAAGGGTAGATTACATACAGGAAGACCAGGTGCAATAGTTAAAATCACAGTTCTGTTATTGTGACTGTGGTTCTACATTTCTAATCAGTCTGAGATACCAAAGATTACTATTTTCTAAATAAATTGTCAAAGTGATTGTAATAGTTAGGATATAAAGGGGAGCATAATAGATGAGAAGCACTAACTTTTCAAATTATAATTTAGTGTTTACAGTTTCCTGTTATGTAATTTAAAATATGGTTTATTGTCAATATTCTTTCTATGCTTTAAGTATTGTAGCTTTTGATGAAATGATTGAGCCATACAGACTTCATGAAGATGATAAAGAACAGGATATTGCAGATAAAATGAAAGAAGATGAACCATGGCTAATAACAGATAATGAGCTTGAACTTTATAAGACCAAGGTATTCTTTCTCTTCAGTAATATGCCCTGTGATTTTTTTTTTTTTTAATATTTAAAACATAAGTAAATAACAAGAGCTTCAGTTTGATATGAGAGGAAGCAGTTGTGTAAATTAAATCTACCTTAAGTTGAATTTATGTGTGGAGAATGTAAAACATCAGATTTTTAAAAAAAACAGGGAACAGATATTTTTTATTATGCAATCAATTCATTTTGGCTTCTTTTTACTTAAATGTACAATGATGAACCATGGTAGATTTTAATTTTCAAATGATCTAGGAATGACTTTGTCTTGTTTCTTTCATTTCAGACATACCGGCAGATCAGGTTAAATGAATTATTAAAAGAACATTCAAGCACAGCTAATATTATTGTCATGTAAGTAATATCTGTGCTGTTTTCTTGGCTATTCATGTTATATTTTGATTGATTTCTGTACCAGGTCCATATCTATGTAGAAACTATAATGAGTTCAATAGTTGTCAGAAAAAATTTAGAATCCACTTTGCTTTAAACATGGAGAAATCATTTAAAGTAGGAGGAAAGAAAAACAAAGCCTTAACCTTAAGCTTGTATGAATCGAATAGTTCTTTAACATAGTAGGTTATTCTAGAATATTTCCTTTTCTTTATTCCTTCCTCCTGCTTTTCCAAAATGTCATAGCTTTGGAGACATTATAGCTATAGCATAGCCATTAAGTGTGTGGTGTGTGAGGGCTCCAAGTTAAAACCTGGACACTGACAGCTTTCTCATGGAAAAAAACCCATAAAGTTATTTGGAGGATTAAATTCAAAAAACGGTTCTTGTCCATATCCCTACCCCCATGATTCCCACTCGCAAACTTTACATGCAGACACGTTGTCCTTATTTTACATAGATGCTAATGCCTCCTTTGGCTTTTCCTCTACTAAACCTGGTTGGCTTAGCTATTACTTGAACCTTAATTTTCTTCCTTCTGGAACCAAATCCTTAAATAGATAAGGAAAGCTCAGTCCTCTAAAAAACATGCCAAATGATGAAGTAAAAGTAATGCCAAAGGATTGTTAATTTCATCGACAACAAACATTTAATACAGCAGAAGGTTTTAAGTTTTGCTAATGATGATCAAGTATCTGTAATGGAAGAAACTAAAACACAGAAACTGAGAAACAGTCTACAGAGCAACTGGTCACTACCACCATCACCTATAAATAGTGATTAAAGCTCAGAAAATAAGAGAAAATGAAAATTAATATGTAGAATTAATTATATTTGAATTTCCACTTACCTGTGTGTATTTTCCATTTTCTAAATTAAGATAGAAACATCCATTTCTTCTAAAAGAATTCTTTCCTTATTGAGAAAGGGGAAATTTGGGGATTAGTGATAGATACTAAATGAGTTATCATTATTTAAAACTATTTATTTGTTGTTCATATGAAAAAAATTTGTAAATCTTTTATTTAAACTTGAAAAAATAGGAATAGTGCGAGTATAGTAATGCTATTCTATATGCAGAATTTCCTTGAACCAATTCTGTAACTATAATAATTTTTAGTTATTATTATCGTGACTTGAGCCCTGGCAGTGCAGTGGTTTAAGCGCTCAGCTGCTAATCGAAAGTTCAGCAGTTTGAACCCACCAGCGGCTCCAAGGGAGAAAGATGTGGCAGTCTGCTTATAAAAGATTTACAACTTTGGAAACTCTTTAGGGCAGTTCTACTCAGTTTTACAAGGTCACTGTGAGTCAGAATCAACAGCAGTGGGTTTGGTTTTTGGTTTGGTATTATCGTTACTTATAATGATTGTTTTTCATTATACATTTTTCTTCTCAACTTAAATTGGTTCCTTAATTTACTTTTTCTTTTTGATACTAGGAGTCTTCCAGTTGCAAGAAAAGGTGCTGTGTCTAGTGCTCTCTACATGGCGTGGTTAGAAGCTCTGTCTAAGGACCTACCACCAATCCTCCTAGTCCGTGGGAATCATCAGAGTGTCCTTACCTTCTATTCATAATCTCTACACATGGACAGCCTAGTGCCTAGTGAAGTAACTGAGATCTTCAATGACACGTTAACATCACAATGGCGAACTGTGACTTTTCTTTTACTGTTTCATTGATTTGAAAGCACACAGGAAGTTGCTCCATTGATATGTTTATGGAGACTTCAGTTTTAGTCAATTCCGTATCTCAGTCTTAATGAATGAGGATTCCTTGTTGGACTGAAGCTCGTGAGAGGAAAGTTTTCCTTTGCTACTTGAATAGCAATAAAAGTGTGTTATTTTTTGATTGATGAAAGGAGTACAAAAGCCTTTAGCCTTGAGGTGCCTTCTGAAATTAACCAAATGTCATCCATATATCCTCTTTTATAAATTTATAAAATGTCAAACTTTGCCTTCAGCTATTTTTATTTCCAGTCTCTTCCACCTTAAAATAAAATAGATGCTTCTTTTCCATTGACCAGTTAGTGTTGAATACTGTATGTTTTCTGTTACTTTTGTAAAGGTATCTGTTAGATATTAAAGGTGAGAATTAGGGCAGTTAATGAAAAATGGGGGAAAAAAGTGGGAACCAAAAAGTGGCCCCAAAGTTAGGCTTTGTATAAGTAGGTATAAATGTAGACCTAGGAAAAAAAGGCCCAATATACCTGTTTTTCCTCTCTGATTGGCTCTTATTTATATCTTTTATTATTATTTCCCAGAACCTTAGGGAAGGTTGAAGAGTTATCCAGTACTTCTATATACCATGCTGAAAAATCACGCGTTATTCTTTAAACAGAAATCCTCAAGATTATTTGAATTTATTAGGTCTGTCCTAATTTAGAGTTTCCCTCAACTCTGAGGGACTTTCAAGAAATGCTAACAGATTTTTCTAGAGGAAATTTAGACAAAGCAATGCCATTTAATAGACCTATTTCAATAAACACTATGTGGAATTTCACTATATTGTACCATCCTTTATAAATCATTAAAATACTTAATGTTCCATCAAATGGTTAAATGGACCACTGGTTTCTTAGTGAAATATTTTTAGGCTTAATTCATTCAATTGTCAAGTACACTTGGTCTTAATATACTCAGGTTTGAACAGATTATTCTGAACATTTAAATATAATCCATTCTTAATACTTTAAAACTTTTGTTTTAAGAAAAACTGCCAGTTTGTGCTTTTGAAATGTCTGTTTTGACATCATAGTCTACTAGTACAATTTTGACAGTGCATATCACTATTACTAAAAAGCTTTATACACAGTTATTAATGTGAAGTTTTTTTGTTTTTTATTCAAGGAAGGATTTCCTAAAAAACATTTCAAGGGATATATGCCTACGTATCTGTATAAATGTGTGTATACCTATATGCATACACAGATGCGTATGTGTATATATAATGAAATTTATGTTGCTTGTTTTTTGGAATTTAAAATGATCAAGAGTTATTAGGTTTTTTTTTTTTTTTAGTAAACATAAGTTCAAAATTATATTAACAGATAAGGTTGAATGGAGAACAGAGTTGATCATTTGAAGGGCATGTTGTAACCCCATGCAGTTATCATTCAGGTAGAAAATGGAGAACGTTTACATTTCATCTAAAATACTGTTCTTTGGGGTAAGTTTCAGTGATGGAGGATTTATGCAGGTTTTCATGCATCTTTATAAAAATCTATAAAATCATTATTTATGTAGTGCAGTATTTTTGCTGCATGAGTATGAAAAAAATTAATATAAAAATGGAAATCTGGTAACAATTTTGGATTGAGACTGTTAAGAAAATGAAGTATTTTTCCAAAATTTTTTCCTACATTGTAACTCATAGCATTGTTCCATTTATTGCAGGTTTTGCAGTGTTTGGGGGTAAAAGACAGTAGAAGTGTTAATATTATTCAATAAACATATAATTAGTATCATGTTTGAACTTTTTAGTGGATAATAGGGCATGAGCTGAGTGCTGCTATCTTGAATGTACACAGGTACACTTACTGGTTTTTGTTTTTTGTTTTTTAAGTTTTGCCCATTGAGGAAAATATCATTGTGATCTATATTACAGGAACCAAATGTCATGTGTCTCTACATACATGTGTGTATAAAGTACATAAAATATATCTAAATATGCATAATGGGGGTAGGGTAATATTGTCTGTGAAATAATGTAAGAAGCTTTTCACTTTTTAAAAAAAAATGCATTACTTAACACTAGACACCAGGTCAAAACTTTTCAAAGTTGTTGTAGTGCTGTAATAAATTTCATCAATTCTTAGAAATGCTAGCTAGTTTTGAAATTATTCTACTCTGTTTTAATTTATGCTGAATTTTGATTATTTTAATACTTTTTTTTTTTTTAGTTTCAATCATTGGTAATAGCTCGGAAATAAATTATTATGCAATGGCATTTGACAGTTCATTATTCCTATAGGTAAAAATTCAATGGGTTTAGAGAGAATGGTGTGAAGCTGATTATTAACAGTTAATTAAATCAAATATTTATTTGTTACATATTTGTATTTTAGGTTTTCTTTTACATTCTTTTTATATGCTTTCTGACATACGTATTTTTAAAGACTATGGAAATAATTTAAAGATTTAAGCTCTGGGGGATGATTATCTACTAAGTTTGAAAATGTAATATTTTGATAATACCGTACTATAACTATCACACAAATGCTTTTCTAATGTTTTAACGTTGAGTATTGCAGTTGCTGCTTTGTACAGAGGTTACTGCAATAAAGGAAGTGAATTCATTCAAATTATTTAATGGCTCTTCTTATACTTTACCTATTTTATAAGCTGATGTCAGCTTTGTGATTTTAACTTCATTTAGGTAACTCTTACTACTTTATTGGTCTAATACTTTTTTATTGACCTTTAACTTAATAGTTATGCCTTGGTAAAGTTGTTTGAAGTTGTTCACTATCTCTGTGCCTTTGGGATAATCACTGTTCCGACAGTCTGGCAGAACCATATAAGGTAGAGCTCATTTTGATTAAAGTGACTTAGCCACTCTAATCCTGATTTATCTTTGGATCAAACTCTCATTTATGAATGAGGACACTAGAAGATTAAAATGGATTCATAATCCCTAAATCTATTTTCTTTTTTCCTAAGATTTTTGGATAAAATGGTTTACGGTTTTACAAAGCATTTTCACTTTCTCATTTGAACATTACAGTAGGTACATTATATCTTTAGGGAAGTTATTTATCTCCATTTCACTCTTGAGAAAGTAGCCTAGAGCAATTTAGGGAAGTTTCCCAAGGTCATGTGATAAATCAAAGAAGTCTTGGGCTAGAGCCCAAGTCTTTGATCTCCAAGTCTAATGATCTCCATTATGCATTCACTGCTTCCTGGTCCGTAAGTTAGAAGGCTAGGGTAGATAGGTCGTGTCTAGACTACTCATTCCTGTCTGCCCAGCAAGTGTGTGCTCAGGTAATGCAAGTTACAGTTGGAAATATAGATTGGCTACAAAATGCCTTAATAGATTTGAAACCAAATGTAAATGTCTATTGTATGATCTTTGTCTCTTGCTTATTCTCAAATAAATGACCAGTTTACTTCTTTGGAAAGCTAAAAGAGAATTCAGAGGCAACTTATGAATGCGTCATTTCCTAATATCAGACTATCTAGCAGTTTTCAAAACAGGAATGTAATTCATCTTTGAGCAAGCAGTTTTTCATTCACTAGGAAAAAAAAAGACAAATGTATTTGATAAACTTTCCTCTTTATGTACAATCTTTGTAGGGTCAGAGAAAATAGATGGTAGTTGAATGTTTAACTGTTTGAGTAAAGGTACAAGTCCTAGGATACATCTAACAAAAATTGTTTAATTTAGCTAGTTCATGTACTAGATACCTAAAGGATAAATATGCTGGTGGGTTAACCAGTTGGATAGACTTTTTGTAGACTAGTAAAGTACATAAAGATCTAAGTTTTGTTGCCCTTTATAGAGTCTGGTGGCTGTGGTCATAGCCCTGCTTTAAAATTTTTTACATTTAGGATAGGCATTTCAGACAAGGTACTAACTGGTAGCAGTTACTATTTTAGGCATTTTTTTCCTTTTGAATCTACCATTGAATTTTGTGCTAACAAGGTGCGAGTTTCAAACCATTGTTTTAGGGAAAACATGAATGACTGAATATGTCACCTCCTGTTGTGCAGCCTTACTTGTGATGGCTGTCCTCACAGATCAGGAACTGATTCCCAGAATTGATAGTGTCTTGTCAACACGTATCCTGTGTTCCACTATCCTACGATATGACTACAAATTACCAAAATATTCTGCCCACTGTTATAAATGAAAGTAGACTTGCCTTTTTGATCCACAAAATAGGATCAGTAGTCCGTGGATATTGAATGCAAAAAGCAGAGGCACTTGATTCAGTTCTTGTCAGAATTTCATCAGACTACCACTGAAGCCCTTGAGGTGGAGAATTGTGGTGTTTTTGTCCCGGAAGAGTTAACCTATTCAGTCTAAAGAAGGGAAGCAGTTTATAGGATGATTTTATACCCAACTTTTATCTCTAATAACAGATACAAGAAACAGTTTTAAAGTAAAGCAGGCCGTGTTTATATTTTTGATTATATATAACATATTTTGAAAATTATAGTCACTTTACTGTGAAATGTGATTATGCTTTTTTATATTCTAATTAAAATTAAGCCATTTTTTAAGGAGGTTGTCACAATTTGAAAAGGTTATAAGCCACAGGTTATTTTTACTTTAAGTCTACAACGTTTCTTAATTAAGTCATGGAAACTCTTCTTTAAGTTCCTAAGAAATAGTAGATGATAAGGACAATTCGGGCATGGCGGCGAGAGGGGAGGTATTGAAAATTATGCTCCAAGTAGAGGTTTGTGGATTGTGAAAGATTTGCCTCTATTGGGAGAAGTCTGGCAGTCACATTTCCTTTTGGGAAGTAGGGGAATAGTGAAGCATGGGAGTCAGTTTCCTTCTGAATCTTAAATGTGCTGATTACCGTCGGCACCTCCTGTTAACTAAGCAGTACTAATCTCAGCACTATAACCTACATCTTTCAGATAGCCTATTTCTCGATGGTTTTTCCATCATTAATGATAATCCTGTTTACTCTCCACGCACCTGTGAGTTTACCATTGTTGACATAAATTTCACAGTTGAGTGTGCATGTGTGTGTGCTCAGAAAATTGATAGAAAGCACAGGTGTATTATGTTTTGAAATGGTGACTAGAACAGTGTTTCTCAAACTAGCATGCATCAGAATCTCCTGGAGGACTTGTTTAAACACACTTTACTCCTGGCAATCTATGTTCTAATCTCTGCTTATAATCTCAGTATAACCGTTCTTTGTGGTTGCCTTTGTCATTTACCCAAGCCTTGTCTATTGAATTTATCCCATGGAATGCAAATATTCCCATCTACCCTTAACACAAGCTGTGATTGCAAATAATTACATCCCTTCCAAAGTCCTCAGTGTTTTCCTTTTATATTAGTTAGGTCTTTAGCTGGCCCTACACCCACCTTAGGACTTTGGGTACTTGTCAATGACAGGAATAGAACACAAAACAGAAAAAGGAGATCCGAGAAGGTGACTGAATTCAGGCACTCAAGTCAATGTAAGCAGAGACTCAGAAAAATCATTAGTGCTCTGTCTCCATTTCTTTCTCCAGTTTGCCTCTCGAGGCTTGACTTGATTCTTCAGGTAGACTGTCACCCCATAGTGTGCTCAGTGGCTTCTGAAAAAACCATACTTGATCCCTAGCTTAGCAACAACCTCAGTATAAAAGTTAGTCCTAATAAGCTTTGGCTGAAAAGACATGGGGAGGGCTTCAGTGGGCTCAGCTTGGGAAACGTGATCCCCTAATTCAGTCATGTCATTGATCAGGCTTGGATCATATGCCTATTTGATATGCAGAGGGTTCTCCATAAAAAGGAGGATTTTTTATTGGAAGAAAGAAGAAAGGAAGACGGGGCTGACCAAACCAACAGATGTTCACATTCTCTTATCCCTTAGATTGCCCTAAATAATATCGCACCACGTTCAACTGGAAGTGGAAAAAAATGAGAGAAAACCTAAGTCTTATTTGAAGTCTGTAGTCAGTGATTTCTTCAAGTCCAGAATATTTATGAGGCTGAGGTTCAGATGTGACTCCTCATGATCCAGCAACCTGTAAATGACTAAATGATAAATTTTTTTACTCCAACATACCCAGTAATAACTGGCGTTTACTGAATTCCCTCTGTGTTCACAGATGTTCGACATATTTTATCTCATTTAATCCTCACAGCTATGAGGTAGACTGTAGTCTCCACTTTTCAGACGGGGACACAAATGTGAATCCAGGTCACATAGTTGGAAAGCCAGGATTCAGATTCAGGGAGTGTAACCAATCCCCATGCTCTTAACCACTCGGTTCTACTGCTCCCAGCCTGCATGTACTTAGGGAAACAAAACAATAGTCACTGTGAAAACAGTCACTGGAAAAGAGGAGAGGAGGATCTCTAGAAAGCATGAGACATGTCCAGTGATGGACCAATCACCTTATCAGGGAGACAGAGTACTATGCCTACCAGAACACACCAAACTGGGGAGAGGGAAGAAAAGAGGTGTTCTGCCTATCATCCTTGGTTCTAGTAGCTGGCCCTACACCTGACTTAAGGACTGATTAAGATTGTGGGGAGTACGATAAATTTACTCTTGTTTAAGTTGTTGGGGAGCTTTTCCTTGTTCTGTTTCACTTGCCATGTTACAAAAATGGCTAAGAATGAAAACCTCTTAGTCAAGACAGAGTTACCCAAAGTCTTTTGGCACTTGGAGATGCGATAGTGAACCACTCTTACATTCATGGGCCAAACCTTCTTGGGCTTCTCGTTAGGTTATCCTTGAAACACACGATTGAGCCCATTCCTGGTATTTAAGACTAAATTTAGAGCTCTAGAACCAGATTGCCCAGATTCTAATATGAGTGTTATCACTGCAAGTGAACTTTGCTGTGTCTTGGTGTCCTCATCTGTAAAATGGGGAGAATAAAGTAGCTTTGGGAAGCAGAGAACACTTTAGATATGCAGGGAGATTCTTCCTAAAGAAGCAAGCAAGGAAGAATTTGTTGAGTGTTGATAGAGTAGAATAGGAATTTGCACTGCAAACAGTGGGGATGAAGTTAAAAAACCTGTTGTTGTCAAGTAGATTGCGACTCACAGCAACCCTATAGGACAGAGTCTAACT